ATATACATAGCAATTTTTTAATTGGATACATCGCATTTGGACTATAGACAGCCTAAATAACAACACTGGTTAAGATATTAGAAATAATCACACGATTCTTGCAACACCAATAAATCATCTAAGATCCTTTCTACTGTTGTTCCGATTTGTTTAGTCATTTCTCGTTGTCGATGTAATGCCAAATTTGGAAATTGTATTAAGAGATCTCCATCCAAAATCCCTTTAGCTGGATTAATGGCTAGTCGTTGCTTTGATTGCATAAGCCTTCGTAAAATGTAACAGGAAATTAGGAAATTAACTTTCTTAATGTTATTATAATAATAATAAAAATGAGTCAAATGATACCTAAATGACTTAGGATTGAGGCCTGCAGGATGTTGTATTCCATTTACCATTTGTGAGTGCAATAATTGCATTCGTTTATACATTTTTTCAGGTATAGGGGTTATCATGCCAATACTTCCGTCAAGAGTCCCTAAATATTGTGACAGTAGTATTTATATTTATACAAATTTAGTTATGACGTGTAACAAAATAATTAAGTAAATGTGTACCGCATAAGCAAAGCTGTTTATGTCCGATAGTCTCTTCTTCCATTACGGGTATTCCCGGATCAATAGAGTGATCTCTTCTTACTAACTCTTTTTTTGGTAAAGATAACATCGTTTTTACTTGCGACCCAACATGAAAATCTCCTCGGCGGATAAGTTTCTGACCAGCAAATGATTGTACATCTTAAAAGATAAATTTAATATTAGAAATATTTATGATAAAATATGCTGTATAATTATTTAAATAAAATAAGCTTACTATAAGGTGCATACTGAAACAAATGTATATTCTTATCCATATCAGCCACAGCGAAATATAATACAGGCTCGTCGATTAAGAAATTAGTGCAACCAACTTCCATAGAGTGGTAGTCCTTGCCAACCAACACGAGTTTCGCTGGTTCCTCCTTTTAATGTAATTATATATCAACATAAGCAAAGCATATTGAGAATAATTCAAAAACATATTAAAGCTTGCCTGAAACCCAAGAAACCAGACACCTTTATAGACATCTCCTAAGAGTATATAATCTTTAATCGATACTACACTA